CATCTCTAGGAATACCTCCATTTCTTCCAGGTTATCTAATTTGCTGGCATATGGTTGCTCATAATATGTTCTTATAATTGTTTGTATTTCTATGCTGTTGGTTGTGATCTCTCCTCTTTCATTCATGATTTTGTTGATTTGGGCCATTTCTCTTTTCTTTTGATAAGACTGGCCAGGGGTTTATCAATCTTGTTAATTCTTTCAAAGAACCAGCTCCTAGTTTCGTTGATCTGTTCTACTGTTCTTTTGGTTTCCTTTTCATCGATTTCTGCTCTGATCTTTATTATTTCTCTTCTCCTGCTGGGTTTAGGCTTTATTTGCTGTTTTTTCTCTAGCTCCTTTAGGTGTAGGGTTAGGTTGTGTATTTGAGACCTTTCTTGTTTCTTGAGAAAGGCTTGTATTGCTATATACTTTCCTCTTAGGACTGCCTTTGCTGCATCCCAAAGATTTTGAACAGTTGTGTTTTCATTTTCATTGGTTTCCATGAATTTTTTAAATTCTTCTTTAATTTCCTGGTTGACCCATTCATTCTTTAGTAGGATGCTCTTTAGCCTCCATGTATTTGAGTTCTTTCTGACTTTCCTCTTGTGATTGAGTTCTAGTTTCAAAGCATTGTGGTCTGAAAATATGCAGGGAATAATCCCAGTCTTTTGGTACCAGTTGAGACCTGATTTGTGACCTAGGATGTGATCTATTCTGGAGAATGTTCCAAGGGCACTAGAGAAGAATGTGTATTCCGTTGCTTTGGGATGGAATGTTCTGAATATGTCTGTGAAGTCCATTTGGTCCAGTGTGTCATTTAAAGTCTTTATTTCCTTGTCGATCTTTTGCTTAGATGATCTGTCCATTTCAGTCAGGGGGGTGTTAAAGTCCCCCACTATTATTGTATTGTTGTCAATGTGTTTCTTTGCTTTTGTAATTAATTGCCTTAATTGGCTGCTCCCATGTTAAGGGCATAGATATTTACAATTGTTAGATCTTCTTGTTGGATAGACCCTTTAAGTAGGATATAGTGCCTTTCCTCATCTCTTATTACAGTCTTTGGTTTAAAATCTAATTTGTCTGATATAAGGATTGCCACCTCAGCTTTCTTTTGGTGTCCATTAGCATGGTAAATTGTATTCCACCCCCTCACTTTCAATCTGGGGGTGTCTTTGGGTCTAAAATGAGTCTCTTGCAGACAGCATATTGATGGGTCTTGTTTTTTTATCCAGTCTGATTGCCTGTGTCTTTGATTGGGGCATTTAGCCCATTTACATTCAGGGTAACTATTGAAAGGTATGAATTTAGTGCCATTGTATTGCCTGTAAGTTGACTGTTACTGTATATTGTCTGTGTTCCTTTCTGGTCTATGCTGCTTTTAGGCTCTCTCTTTGCTTAGAGGACCCCTTTCAATATTTCTTGGAGGGCTGGTTTCGTGTTTGCAAATTCCTTTAGTTTTTGTTTGTCCTGGAAGCTTTTTATCTCTCCTTCTATTTCCAATGACAGCCTAGCTGGATATAGTATTCTTGGCTGCATATTTTTCTCGTTTAGTGCTCTGAAGATATCTTGCCAGTCCTTTCTGGCCTGCCAGGTCTCTGTGGATAGGTCTGTTGCCAATCTAATGTTTCTACCATTGTAGGTTACATATCTCTTCTCCTGAGCTGCTTTCAGGATTTTCTCTTTGTCTCTGAGACTCGTAAGTTTTACTATTAGATGTCAGGGTATTGACCTATTTTTATTGATTTGGAGAGGGGTTCTCTGTGCCTCCTGGATTTTGATGCCTGTTTCCTTCCCCACATTAGGGAAGTTCTCTGTTATAATTTGCTCCAATATACCTTCTGCCCCTCTCTTTCTTATTCTGGGATCCCAATTATTCTAATGTTGTTTCATCTTATGGTATCGCTTATCTCTCGAATTCTGCCCTCGTGATCCAGTAGCTGTTTATCTCTCTTTTTCTCAGCTTCTTTATTTTCCATCATTCGGTCTTCTATATCGCTGATTCTTTCTTCTGCCTCATTTATCCTAGCAGTTAGTGCCCCCATTTTTTATCGCACCTCATTAATAGCCTTTTTGATTTTGACTTGGTTAGATTTTAGTTCTTTTATTTCTCCAGAAAGGGTTTCTCTAATATCTTCCATGCTTTTTTCAAACCCAGATAGTATCTTTAAAATCATGATTCTGAACTCTAGGTCTGACATCGTACTAATGTCCGTATTGAGTAGGTCCCTGGCAGACAGTACTACCTCTTGTTCTTTTTGTTGAGGTGATTTTTTTCCATCTTGTCATTTTGTCCAGGGGAGAATAGACGAATGAGAGAACAAAATGCTAAGAGGTTATATAGGGTATATATATATAACAGAGTATATAACAGGGTATATAACAGAAAATATACTCTAAACAAAACAGAAAAGACCTGAAACCAGGGGGAAAGAAAGTGAAAGAAAAAAAAAGAAAAAGATAAAAACAAACAAAAACAGAACAAAACAAAAAAAAACAATATGATCAAATATGATCAAATATGATCAGGCTGGTGCATAGATCAGTGCCACACACTAGATTTTGGGGGTATTTTGGTCTGTTAGAAGAAAGTGCCTCCCAAAATTTTAAAGAAAGAAAGACTTATATATGTATAAAATAAGGGTTGATACGATGAAGGGATGGAATACGACTGTAAAGATGAAAATTATAAAAAATTTTATAAAAGGAATTGATAAGATAAGAAGTTGTTTGAAAAAAAAGAAGAAGATTTAAAAAAAAGAAAGAAAGAAAGAAAAAGGGGAGAGAATGTGATCAGGCAGGAGACTAGAACAAAGCCATACACTAGAGATTTAGGGTATATTTTGATCTGTTAGAAGAAACTGTATCTCAAAATTTTAAAGAGAGAACAACTTATATATATATCAAAAATAAGGGTAGCTACTATGAAGGGATAGAATCTGACTCTATAAATGAAAAATAAAAATGTTTATTTTAAAAAGGGATTGATAAGATGGTTGAAAAAGGGAAAAAGAAAAATTCAAAAAAAAAGTTAAAAAAATTAACTTTGAAAGACTAAAGAGTCATGGTAAAAAAGCCATGAATTCCATGTGCAGTATTCCCCTAGCGCTGGAGTTCTGCCGTTCTCATAGATTGGTAAACTTGGTCTTGGCTGGCTGTTCTTGCTGATTTTTCTGGGGGAGGGGCCTGTTGCCGTGGTTCCCAAATGTCTTTGCCGGAGGCGGAATTGCCCCGCCCTTGCCTGTCCGGGCTAAGCAAGCTGCTCGGGTTTGCTCTCGGGAGCTTTTGTTCCCTGCAAGCTCTCGGTACAACTTTGGGGGTCGAGTGTGAAAATGGCGGCCTCCCAATCTCTGCCCCAGAGGAGCTGAGAACTCAGGGCCCCGCTCCTCAGTGCGCCCCCAGAGAAAAGCAGTCACTCCCGTCTCCCCGGTCTGCGGCCACACTCCGTGCTCACCCGGCCTGTGACCGAGCGTTGCTATCTCTGGCACCCGACCCCGTATGGAGTCTCCAAACCCAGCAGATCCCTGCGGTGCGCTCCCGCGCCGCTCCTCCCGGGGGAGGAAGGGGAGTCTCCCCGGATCTGCCACTTATTGGGTCCCTGCTGGAGGAGCAGTGGCCCGACCGCGCAGTGGATCACGGTTTATGGCAACCCTGAGCTGAGAGCCTGAGCCTCGGCTCCATCTCTGCAGCTGGCTTCCCCGTTCTGATACCTGGGAGCTCTGTCACACTCAGGCACCCCCGGGCTTTCTGTGACCCCGAGGGTCCTGAGACCACACTGTCCTGCGAGGTTTCCACCCCCTGTTTAGCCACTGGAGCGACGTCCCTCAGCAGAGCCAATTTCTAAAGTTCTGATTTTGTGCTCCGTGGCTCTATCTCTTTCCAGAAGCGGCCAACAGAGGCCCCCTCCCCCGCCGTTTATCCTCCTGAATATAGCCTCGGATTCACTTCTCCACACATCCTACCTTCCAGAAAGTGGTCGCTTTTCTGTTCAGAGTTGTTACAATTCTTTTCTTCAATCTCCTGTTGAGTTCGTAGGTGTTCGGAATGGTTTGATCCCTATCCAGCTGAATTCCTGAGACCAGACGAAATTTAGGTCTCCTACTCCTCTGCCGTCTTGCTCCCCCATAATTTATTTTAATTGCTGATGGATAATAATGGCTGAATAGCAATGGTTGAGATTTACGAAAGTGGTATTCAATTTCCTGCTGTTGATGCCACTCTGGATTTGAATAAGGCAATTATATATTCTGTAAAAGGTTGATAATATAACCAGTTTATGGCTTACCTCACAAAGTTAAAATGCATGTGAAGATAAAACGGAAAGAATTTAGCCCTTAGAAAAGAGCCAATATCCAACTCTAGAAATTTTACATTAACGTATTAATGTGAGTCAACTATAGAATTAACTAAAACCCCCAGGTTTGTGGACCTCATGAGAACACACTCTCATTTACAGAAAAAAAAAAAAAGAAATAAGACAAAACAAAAAAAAACCCACAACAACCCAAAACACAAACAAAAAACTACTGCTTGGCCAGAAGAGATGTAAAGATATCCTGATAATATTATGTGAGTCTGTGGCCATCTCTTCATGAACAGTTTAAAAAGATATATAAGATATGTATAAACAGAGAAAACTTGAGAAATGGAATTCAGGAAAGGAATTTATTATTATTTAAGAAAAAATACTAGGTATTGCTTATCAAATGTTTCTGCAACTGTATTCTTAGCAAGGCAATTTAAAATAATGATTAAAAATGGAAAATTATAAAACTCCCAAACCAAATGGTTATAAATTACTTAGTACTTTCAAAGTGATACTTTTTTGTTCTGCTCTAATTCAAACACATGATGACTTTCTAAGAATTTGTGCAGGGCATTTCTTTCAGGATTTAGAAAAGGCCTTCTATTTTATTGTGCTTTATGTGTTACCAAAAATTAATAAATAAATTTTAAGTTAAATTACCATGATAAATATTTAGAATGTTCTCCAGCAATTCATTGCTATTTATTTCTTCCAGGCTTGTACAGCATATGTGGATTTTATGATTTCTGTGGCCAGATTGATTCGTAAGGAGAAAGGACTGCCCATCGATGAAAACCAGCTTTCTTTGGAAATGAAGAGAGTTATGGAATTGGAAAAAGAAATTGCCAATGTAAAATACATTTTCTCTAATTCATTGAATAATGTTACCACTCTTTTTTTTTTAAGATTTTATTTTCTATTTGAGAGAGAGAGAGTGAGTGAGAGAGTTCACAAGCTGGAGGGGGGCAGAGGCTGAGGGAGAAGCAGACTCCCCGCTGAGCCAGGAACCCCGTGGGGCTGGATCCCAGGACCCTGGGATCATGGCCTGAGCCGAAAGCAGATGCTCAACTGACTGAACCACCCAAGCACCCCAGTGTATCACTCTTTTCTTTCTTTCTCGTCTATCATATTATAAAGGTAAAAGGGGCAACTTTTTAAACAACTGGTAAAAATGCCTAGCTCAGTAATGAATCATTGACTTTAAGAAGACCTTTGAAACTAGAATTTTGTAGTAAACTGGGTTCCTGACATCAAGGAGACATAACTAAGTTTGACAAATATTAAACTAGATACACTTAATTAACAATTATAAGTGGATTATACCAAAAGCCTAACTGTTTGGAGTCAAACAGTTGTTGAGATGTCCTTGAGACTCAGGACACATGTGATTGCTAACTATTCAGCAAAGTTGTTTTAGTTTTGATGTGTGTAGTTTTACTTTGTTTTAAAGTTTAAGGTGATCACAGAGATTGACTATCCCTCTGCTTAATATTAGTCCCTGAACATTGCCACGTGATGGCTCAGTGTGACCGAGTTCCGACTGTCAGTCTGGCTCAGAGGATCTGACAGGAACAGCAAAGCCATCGGATGTTTTCCTGAGTTTCCTGTAGTTTCAGATGAACGCTTGGAGTCTGAATTGGCACTTTCTTGTCTGAGGTTCCTCTAACAGAGTCTGCAGTCTCAAGGAGTGAACTCTGTCTAAGCAGCATCAAGGTTACTGATTTAACCCACTGTCAGTTTCAGTCTAGAATCTACAGGGCTCTCCCTGACATTGCAAACAACAGTCTGTGCTCCTGAATCCCCAGGTGCTTGCCACTGCCATCAGAATCTTGAAGACTAAAGATCTTTGAGGGCAATTTTGGCTTTCCTGGAGCTACATGCCACCCAAAATCTCCAATCAGAACCAGACTTTGCTTGAAGCCACCTCTGGATGAATAGCAGTTGGATGGATTACATGTGGTTCTGTGCTGAAAACGGAATTGTTAGAGGAGAACAGTGTATTGCCTTGGGTTTCTGCCATTACACCTTCCCAGACCATGTTCTCCTTTGATCAGCCTTAGCTCTCTTACCTCAAAATGATTTGTGTCTATGTTTTTTCTCCTTAGACTCAGGTTGGGGTGAGGTCTTAGTCTTCTTTGAATCACCTGTGCATCTCTGGCATTATCCAGCTTATTATTCCGTTCAGATGTTCAATAAATGATTTTTTAAATAGTGAATAAATAAGTGACCTAAAGGGGAAACTGGAGCCATTGTCTCCGAGAAATAATTCCCATGTTAAACTTCCATCTTTCATCTCTCTTGCTTTTTCCTATTTCAGCCACTAGTTGGGGAGTTGTTATTGTATTTCTTTTTTGATTCCATGAAAAACAAACAAACAAACAAACAAACAAACAAACAAACTAGATGCTGTTGAGTATAGAGTATACTAAACTGGTTAGGCAGGATAGGAGGACAGTCACAAAAGTAGAAGGTGCTAGCACTCTACTCAGATAACTGCTGTTTACTAGGAATTTTTTCTCTTGCTTTAAATTCTTGAAGAAGTCATTGTGGCTCTTTTTTTTTCTTGTCTGGATTTTAACTGGGATACTGAATGGTGGCAATGAGGAAGTGGGAGAGAATATTTGAGAGATATATTGCAGATGACTGTATTTGAGAAAGTTATTATATAAAACAATCACAAAAACAACTGAGCTGACCATGACCCTTAGAAGGAAAGAGGACTGTGGACACTGCCTACGGGGTTCAGTGGTTGTCAAAGCATAAAAAGATTTTTGAAGAATCTTATACTTGACACAGTAGCCAAATCTTGATGATTGTTACTGAATATACTTAAAATCTCCTGAATTTTCTTTTTGATATGAATTTATTTTAACCATAAACAAGTATACAAAACAGAACTTAAATTATATTGTGCCTAGTCCATATTTCTTTTCCCCTCATAGACAGTTATGTTTTTCTGAAGTATTCTTAGTTCTAAAATAATGATCAAAAATTAAATCCATAGGCTACAACTAAACCTGAAGATCGAAATGACCCCATGCTTCTTTACAACAAAATGACATTAGCCCAGATCCAAAATAACTTTTCACTAGAGATCGGTGGAAAGGTAAGTAGCAAGTTTCGTGTTCTCTGTTATTGTGCCATTTCTAAAACTATAACAATGAAATACAGTTTGTTAAAATTCAGTGATTACTTATTTATTGAAATAAATTGAACTTCAAAATGAATTCAGATGACACCAACCATTTGACTTCATGATAAGACTGGAAAAAAAAAATACAGACCTATGTGAAATCATTGTATTTGCTTTAGTTAAAGTGAACTTCAAAGGTGAAATTCCTTTCAAGGCAGCTGTGCAATGATACTAGGAACTGTTGTAGCAAAGGGTTTGGAAAACATTAAAATGGAAAATCCTTTTGAGAGACCATTATATAGCCACTGGACTTGGAAGTCAAATAATAAAATCACTAGATTTCTTTTTAACTCCTAAAAAGGATAATTTATTTATAGAACTTGCCATATTCTCATCAAGGCCATCTATCGAGATGTTCAGAGCCATGATGGAGAAATAGAACACAAGAAATAAAAATTTGTCTCCTAAATTCCATTTAAATAGTAGTAATTCATTAGCTAGGATGCAGTAATCTCTTTTGGGGACTATGTATGTATTCTTGTGTATTAGTTGATGCACATGATTGGGAAGTGAAGCAAGATAGAAAAATCTACAAACTATCACATTCAGTAATAGAATTCTCTTTGGCCCTAATTACAATTAAAAAAAGGGGGGGGGCTTTGTAAAGGCATGACCTATTGTTAGGAATTTGTCACATAGAACTGTTTAATATAATAAGGCCTTCATAAATCTATTTTGAAAGAATGGTCCAAACCACCAAAGAGAATCAAGAAAAGCATATAGCACTTAATACTTAATAAGTGACCAGTATATTTATATACTTACAAATGTATAAACTTCTCAAACACTGAAATATGGCATTTCAGCAAGATTTGCATAATCTCCATGTCTATGGGTTTTTTCTTATATCTACTGGTGGTTGAATAACCACAATTCCCTTTTAGAGAATAAAAGATAAGATTTCATCTTTTGGCAGCTCCAAAGTATAAAAATTGCACACCTATAGACCCAATATTGATAGTTTCAAAGGTGTTGTTTGGCTTCATTGGACCATTCATGTTGTATCTATAACATTACTGTACCTTTCCTATGACAATAGTATGCTTTCATTTATAGCAGGATCTCCACTGAGGTGTATTACGGTGTTTGAATGGATTGTTATATCCACTTTTAAAAGATAAACACTTTATACCCATTTAAATTTTTGCATAAACCAAGGAAGTTTTATTTTTAAAGCTAGATTTCTTTTTTGTGTGTGTGAGTTAGACCAAGATGGATGACACTGAGCTAAATTTCTAGCTGTATATCCTCTATCCTTAGAGGCTTTGCTTTTGCTCTTAAATGGTTGGTTTAATGCTGCTATCTGAATAATCATGCTACAGAACTAATTTTTATTCAAAAACTGATTGGAACAATGGAGGAAAAATTCCAAACAAATGTCACACTGACCATCGTGATAATTATAGAGTGATGCAAATGACACCTTAACCATGTCTGACTCCATAACCATAATTGAGTCTTAGAACCAAGAAGAGAAATCCAAAATTACTGAATGTTTTATGCCTGCTTTTTTCCAGCCATTCAGCTGGTCAAATTTCACAAATGAAATCATGTCAACTGTGAATATTAATATTCCAAATGAGGAAGATGTGGTTGTTTATGCTCCAGAATATTTAACCAAACTTAAGCTCACTCTTACCAAATATTCTGCCAGGTAGGTATGTCAGAGTGTCTGTGTCCTCAAAATTTACATTTAATATCACTCTTTAGAAGCTTTGCAGCCTCATCTTTTCTGTTGCTGGGTGGTGGGTTTTTTTATACAGAGATCTTCAAAATTTAATGTCCTGGCGGTTCATAATGGATCTTGTAAGCAGCCTCAGCCGAACCTACAAGGAGTCCAGAAATGCTTTCCGCAAGGTGAAGAAAAAATCTCTTTTCTTAAGACTTAAAGCATAAAGAGATACATGGTTATGAAGGCTTGCCATGTACAGTGCTAGAATATGGTGAACTTTGCCAAGAGTCAACATGCCAAGTGTTGGTTATTTCGCCCATATTTAGGCTATGTTGCCTAGGAAAGCCAGCTTTCATGGGCTTTGCCATCCTATGATTGTCTATTCTGGCACCATGATTGAAATGCTCTGGAAGGAGATGCATTTGGTTATTGGAGCAGTTTGTGAAAGAATACTGGCTTGGTTTTCTGTTGTGTTAAAAGTAATTGCAAGGGTCTATATCTCAATTAATTTGACTTTCAGGTGCTTGTAGCACACTAGACACACAGACAGATGGACTACATTGATATAGACAATCCACTGAGAGTACACCTACCTGGGGACAACCATAAGGCCTTTTATTAGGCTGTACCTTCACTATTTAAACAATCATCCTAGTAGTCTTGTGGTGAGGGGAGAGGGCAGGAGGGATAGAAGAAGGAGACATTTTGGCAAATGTACTGGTTGGTGTTATGGAAACGAAATAACTGTTTAATTGAAATTTTTAGCATTTACCCTTTGAAAGAAAATGTAGACAAATTTTTAAAATTAAAGAATGTAAAAATGGTATCTTGCTCAATTTCCCTTATTTCAGTTAATCCCCTCATTAGTACTTAAATTTATATACATACAGTTCTTCTAAGTACTGAAAGTTCAGCCAAAACATTAAAAAACAGGAATGTGTTTTCTTGTATACCAGATTTCTCCCCGGTTACATAAATTGAACATTACTTCATGTTTATGTTTATGCAGTTGGAACTATTATTTTTTTGTTTGGTTTTAGTTGGGGGGGGCATTTTGTTGTTGTTTTCTGAAGCTGTCTAGAAGGATATTCACCTGTAATAGCCTAAAGTTCTACTGGGACATGCTACCGAAAATATACCTTGTTTTCGGACTATTTATAAGTAAACTGTCCAATTGGATTACATTTTGTCGTGGGCAAGGACAACATGCCTGGTGAGGAGAAGCAATGAACATTTGCAAGAACTTAAGGGACATAAAGAACAGAGTCCTGTGGAATGTGTGTTCTCCTTTGCTGTGGCCATCTACTTGTGTTCAGATGCCATTTCCTTTCTTTTACCCATAGGCCCTATATGGCACAACATCAGAAACAGCAACATGGAGACGTTGTGCAAACTATGTCAATGGAAATATGGAAAATGCTGTGGGAAGGCTGTACGTGGAAGCAGCATTTGCTGGAGAGAGTAAACATGTGGTAATGTTTTCAGCACGATACTATATCAGTTAGTTGTTTGCATCGATTAGCAATTACAATAGTTCATAATTTGGCTAGTTTTATTAATTGGCAGAGAATCTCAGAATCATAATTTGTTGTTATTTCTCAGTGAATCTCCTCCTCTTTCCCCCAAGGGTCTGGTTATGTTTCTAATCGTTTTTTTTTTTTTCATTTTAACAGTTTTTATTTCAAGTCGCATACAAGATTATTTTACTCCTGCATCTTCTCAATTGTTTCTTCCTTATATTTGCCCTTTTCATCTTAATATTGTCTAATCCAAAACCAATTGTCCATTTTCCAAAAGCGTATTCAGAGTATCCACTCATGTGTTCTGATGATAGAGATATTTGTAAAGTCTTCTGTTAGCAATTTGACCAAGAATCAGTGTTTTCTGAAAAACTTTGAAAGTAAACCAGAGTTTATTTGAAATATTTAAAAAATGTACTCCATTTTTCATTGTTATTGAAATGAAGACAATGGAACTTAAAGTGAAAGAAACTATTAAAATACTACTTCTTAACTGAACTACTAACAGTGATGACAGTTACTATTTTATGTGAATTCTTTTATAATCATGGAAACCATTATATTCTAAAGATGATTTTTTAATTAACTCATATATAAGACCTATTTAATCATTAGTGTTGGTAGTAGCAAGATTCCTTTAAAAATATAATTATCCACATATAAAAAATATATATATAATTATCCATATATATCCATTTGTTTATATCACAGTTTATCTATAAATTTTCATGCATTAACATATTATTGAGTCCTATAAAGACAGCTTATAGCCCTATTTTTTAAAATCTGTGTTACCAAAAATTAATTCATCTCCTAAATTTGTCTTCTGTTCCTTTGGTTTTAGGTTGAGGATTTGATTACACAAATCCGTGAGGTTTTTATTCAGACTTTAGATGACCTCACTTGGATGGATGCTGAAACGAAAAAGAAAGCTGAGGAGAAGGTAAAATAAATAAATAAATAAATAAATAAATAAATAAATAAATAAGGCAGAGCTAACTATTAAACAATTTCTTTACAAGAAAAGATCAACTTTTAAAAGAAGTTCAGAAAAAAAAATTCAGGGATTGCATAAAATGAAAGCAATCTCCTTCAAGATGTCATGTTTCCAGGAACAGTTTTCATGGATAAAGATTTGTTTCTACGATTTTTACCTTTTATTATCTCTTTACAAAGAGATAATAAAAACTCCTACTCTCCATATTCAATTCAAAATTTTGAAAGATCCCCGATTTTCCTGTTTTTTTTAAAAAATGACTCTTCAGAAAATAAAAAGAAAATCCTATATGAACAATAAAGATCTGAAAGATACTATCAGTGGTTCATATTTTTCCTCTTTTTATAAAACATATCCAGAAGCACTCTACCAAAGCCTAAAAATATCCTTTCAATTTTTACGGCAGATTTCCAGCTCAATTTTTAAAACATGCCTTATTTAGATTTTTATATGACCTAGGGAGAAAAATACTAAATTTCTGTCAAGCAAAGGTAAGGTGATGTATTACTTAAGTATTACATGGTGATTTACAGTTAAAGAGATGTTGAGGGAGCCTTTTTATAACTATTCCTACCTACCCGCACTGTGCACCTGTTATTGGGACTTCTAATATCTTGCCTAAGAACAAAGGTGTCAGATGTCTAAGGAAATCTTAGGTTTAAATTCACTATGATCATTTGTCTTGATAACTATATAAAACTAGAAGGAACATGTCCAGTGGAAATTGTATATGCTTTGGAAGTAGTATTCACATACAATCTGATAATTCCACTGTAGTTGAGGTCGCAAGAACAGACCATTCTTCAAACTGATACAGAAAAATTTTATGAACCTATTATAATACAAAACCCAAGTGGTAGTCTAGTTCTTTTCCAGGATTAAAGCATGTGAAAGGACTATCTTTTTCAGCTATCCGAAAGCTGTTGCTAGGTTAGGTCTAGAATTTAGGCACTACAATATATCTATCTTTCCATCACCGACTTGGTCCTCAGAAGTTCAGGCTGGATTTATTCCTTTCATGTTCTTCTAGCTATCTGTGACATGGTTCTATTTGATGTAGCCAACTGGATTGTGCTTGATCATCATTTCCCAAGATGGTATCACAAGCCAATGGACCCATAAGTAGTTCCATGAAAAAAGAATCCCTTGCTCAAAGAAATTAGGAAACTGCTTCCTATAGGAAGCCTTCCCTGCTCCCACCTTACACTAGGTTACATGCTCCTAGGGTATGAACTTAAGGCACCATATCTAATACTCATTACATTTTAGACTGCAGTAAAGAAGCCTGCTTAATGTTTCTGTCACAGTATTTACCCAAAGTATTGGACAATAAATCCTTTTTATGTAGACCCATTTCTATAGACTCTGTGCCTCTTAGGACACTCTTTGGGGAAGTGTCTTCTAGAAAATAAAAAACCTTCAAGAGGAGGCTGGTTGTAATGGGCAATGGTGTGGAAATCTACAAGAAAACAGACTTGGGCCAAACTGGCTTGTTGACACATATCCTGTCTGATCTGCTGTGGAAATCCTGTGCTTACGAAACAGATTTGTAACATAATTAAATTATTTAAGAACAATGTAATATGATAGAATCAAAAGTCAAATATCTTTGAGAAAAATGAGAGAAATAAAAAATAGAAATAGAAATCATAATAGGAAACAAGTAGCAATAATGAAATAATAAAAGTAAACAATTCTAAAATAATAAAAATAAAAATTAGAAATGATAGTAAGCAAGCGGTCAATATGAGCTGGTATAACAAGGAAAATCCTGTTCTCTACTTTTTTAAATAATGCCACTCATTTAATTGTGGGCAGGTAGGTACACTGGCTTTGGAGACCAAAAGAGAACATACAAACTCCAGGACTCAATATTCAGAAAGAATATTAGCACTAAACCTAGAAGCCCATATCTGTTTTCTCAGCCAACTCAGTGAAGTGGAAAGATAATTATAAGCTGCTAGAATGGAAGCTCTAAATATTACCCCTCCTATAAAATTGAAGAAAAAAGCCTTTCTCAGAGAAAAAGTTCATAGAAGTACAATATGTGTGGAACAATGACTTGTCAGTTTTCATTTTGATTTTCTTGGGAAAGCTGGAGCATATGAGAATAGGGTATTAGAAGCAAAATTTCAGAACTGTTTTTTGTTTATTTTGAACCCTAGGGAGAAGCCATTTCAAAGATCTCTATTTAAGTGTTGTCAAATACTATTTTTGTAAGCAATATGGATCAAGTTATTCAATTGCTAGTCATGGCAAATTATAATGTTTGCATTTGGAAGTTATATAATCGCCCTTACATTCAATGTTTTAATTTTCCTAGGCCTTAGCCATTAAAGAAAGAATTGGCTATCCTGATGACATTATTTCAAATGATAATAAACTGAATAATGAATACCTCGAGGTAAGTCTCTACGAAGACTGTGCTATTGATACCTGGGACTGGTGGTAATGTCATTTCTAGCTGTGGGGTGCCAGAGATTATGTGAAGTAGCCTAAAGCCAAAGATCTCATTATATAAAGCCTTTTACACTGAAGCCAAAACTATGTTCTGGTTTTAGCCTTTTGTTTCATCGGCCTGGTTCATATTTGCGTTTGTTATTTTGGTTTCCATATAGTCCATTGAACAGTAGTGGGAAAATCTGGTGTCCTTTAAAGTGCATCAAGGGGTAGACATCAGAGTGATGAGCAACAGGCGGCCCTCAGGCTCCTTATCTCATCTTGTACAGGCCTGAAAAGTCAAATCTTCAGTTTTCCTCCATTTTCCAATTATTCCTCCACTGGATAAAAACCAGGTCATGCCTCTGTATTTAAAAAATAAAACAAAACAAAAACCTACTGTTTGAAAACCAGAAGCGATTTTATTCCCCTCTGGTAATGTAACAACGAAAAGAGAACAGAATCGATTCAAGTCACTATGCTATTGATTTCAGACCCAGCTGAGGGTCCTGTTGCTAACCTTGTGGTCCCCACAACTACTTTGAAACCCTGGTGACAATAAGGTGATCCTTGCCCAGACCTGGGGATGACAGTGATTCCTAATCCATTGATTACTGGTGTCACGTAGGGGTTTGCAAGCCACAGTGTCTTCTGCTCTCTTCCAATTTGTAGAAAAGCTTGACTATTTCTTGTAAATGAAGAGGCTGTAGCATGTGAGTCCCGGGGGCCCTTGTCTCAGGAGTCCAGTGGCTAAGAGCAAAGACTCACAGACATTGGGTTCAAATTCCAGCTCCACCACTCACTAACTTGGGCAAGTGACTTAATTGTCCGCCTTGGTTTCGTCAGCTTTAAAATGGTGGTAACAGCCCATCTTCATAAGATTATATTATATTATAAGGATTAAAAACATGTAATATATGAAGCGCTGAGAACAGTGCCCCGGACATAGTAAGTACTAAATTAAGAATGGACTCTTGTCTCATCTGTCATGTAAGGGTTAATGTCAATACAGGAAAGCTTGTCTGACACTTGGTTTCATTTGATTAGTTACAGAAGAATAGGCTAAAGTAGTGATTCAGTTAAAGCAGCAGTGATCTGTAATATAGAACTAGGCTAATGAGAATTAAATCCTTCTTTGGTAAGTTTTAATGCTTTCTGTTAACTTTATTAACTGATACAATTTAAGAACATATCTCCTATGCTTTTAGCAAAAATTTTGACTAATTTTCCCAAAATCTTTTATGTAATATAGTTGAACTACAGGGAAGAGGAATACTTTGAGAACATAATTCGAAACTTGAAGTTCAGCCAAATTAAACAGCTAAAGAAGCTCCGAGAAAAGGTGGACAAGGATGAGTATGTATATTTGTTTCATATATATTCATTCAGAAAAGGGGCTTTGTCCCTCATAGTTGGGTTAAGAAAAAGAAGTCGGTTTAAAATAATGTTAAAAAAGTACAATGTCTGTCAATGGAGTGAGTACCTCCAAGAGCATCTAAGACTCTCATAGTAGAGATGGGTCAAAGATTTAAGAAAATTAAAAATTTTTTTATTAAGGTGTCCTCAGGCTACCCCCATTTCTTTGGTTTCCTCTCATTTACTGCCTATTTCCTCTACTCTGGACAAGTTTCTCAAGAACGCCTTAGCCTAAGTAACCCAGAGCTCTTTCAAGCTCTCTGTGAGACTGTTACCTGTTTGTGGACAAGTTTCTCAAGAACACCCTAGCCTGGGGCACCTGGGTGGCTCAGTCATTAAGCGTCTGCCTTCGGCTCAGGTCATGATCCTTGGGTCCTGGGATCAAGCCCCGCATCAGGCTCCCCGCTTCACGGGAAGCCTGTTTCTCCCTCTCCCACTCCCCCTGCTTGTGTTCCCTCTCTGGCTGTCTCTCTCTCTCTCTGTGTGTCAAATAAATAAAATGTTAAAAAAAAAAAAAAAAGAACACCTTAGCCTAAGTAACCCAGAGCTCCTGCAAGCCTTCTGTGAGGCCTCACCTACAATACTGAGAATGGTCTTGCACCCCCAGCCCCACCTGTTTTCCATGGGCCAGTCATCCCACAGCCCCACCCCCTTCCTAGACTGCTCCTTGTAACACCCTCAACCTTGTGGCAGCCAAATAGATCATGGGAGTCGCCTTCAAAGTCTCTTCATCTCTGCTTATTAGTGGCATTCTTACTTCATATTAACATTAACAGTTTAGTCTTAAGTTTTCAACTAAATGGGTGTGGCTAACATATTTATTAACGTGTGTTTGTGCACTTAGATCCCTAGAGCTGCTTATATTGACTTTTTCTTGCTAGGCTCTTAGCTCCTGGAGAAGAGGGGCTATCGTTCCTTTTGACTGTTTAGCACAGTGCTGAACACATAGAAGGTTTTTCAGTTAAAACCGAATGAATGAATGAATGAATGAGCAAATGAAAAATAAACATACTACCTTGATTTGCATGGTAATGGACAAAATAATGCCAGTGAGGTGCTTGGTTTATTCATGTGCTCATTTATTCTTTCATTTATTCATTTATTAAACTACTATTCTAGAACACTAAGTCCAGGTGTCATTGGGAACTAGTAGAATCGAAGGTGAACCTTGATTATATTATATTGCATTACAAGGTCAGAGGGTAAGAAAGACATGATATAATAAACTCTACCACCAGAAAGGAAATGTTGTGTCAGGAAAGGTACAAAGTGATAGTGGACTGTTTGATGGCAGGCTGTTCTGTTCCCAGTTAAACCAAGAACAGGTTGAACAAAATTCCTAAATGACAATGCCAATACATTTTAATCCCTACAGAACATTTGAATATGTCAGGTACCCTGAAAGAGAGACTGATTTCTTTTGCTCACCTCAGGGTTTATACTGCAGCAAATGTTGTATTGTCTGGTGCTAAAAACAGGGCTGCAAAGGCTGGAGAATGTTGTGCCCTAGCTAGCAAAGAAGGAAGGAGAATGGGTGCATATGGTTTGTGTTATAATCAGTTGTGAAAACCTATTTCTAGAAACCCACAAAAAGTCACCAAAAAGAATATGCAGTGGGTAAATTTATAATCTGAGAAGTTTCTTACAAGTCTGAAGATTTTCATTTCTTTAAAAATACATATGCTCACAATTCATAATTGTCAGTACCGTGTAAAATATCTACAGAGAAATATTGTCAGGTGGTGTTTCTGAAAATAGCTAATATAACCTGCACCCATATGACACCAGAAGACTGTTTCATAATTTTAAAAATAGTTGTTGAATTATTACTTGATGTTTTCTTTTGAAGTTAATGCAGCCCAAAGTTCTATAATCATTTTGTAATACAGTTTGCATTTTTCATTCCCTTTCATCATATGTGTTGATTTTCTCCTGAGTCCTCTTCCCTTATAATAATCACAAGTGAAAGCTGTGTACAATATTTTTTTAAAGATTTTATTTATTTATTTGAGAGAGAGAGAGCACAAGCAGGGGTAGCAGCAGAGGGAGAGGGAGAAGCAGATTCCCCACTGAGCAGGGAGCCCAATGTGGGGCTTGATCCTAGGACCCAGAGATCATGACCTGAGCCTAAGGCAGATGTTTAACCAAGTGAGCCACCCAGGTGCCCTTACAATATTTTAATGAATGTTTCATCGGTAGCATGCATAGCTCACTAGAACATTTTGGGCCCTTCCCATGAGTTTTTTGATAGTCAATCACAAGTGCAATATGTCTTCTAAGGTCTTCTGTGCCATGCCAGCCTAGTTTCTTTTTCTTCTCCTTCTTCTGCCTGTGTACTGAGTACAAGGGTTCTAAACTCTGGCTACACATCAGACTCGTCTGGGGGGCAATAGAAATAGTACTGAGGCCTCAACTTCACCACCCTCACTTGTGATGTACTTGCCTGTGGATGGAGACCCGGATACTGGTATCTTTTTCAGTACCACCCCCCCAACTTCAGGTGAGAACCCCTGAGTTAGTGTTAGCTCCTTTTTGTTAATGATACTGTCCTTTATTAATTTTGTGAATTTTTTTACAGGGTGAAGCTTTAATTTGGCAATTTAGGTTTAAAATTTATTTTTTTAAGATTTTATTTATTTATTTGACAGAGAGAGTGAGCACAAACAGGGGGAGTGGCAGGCAGAGGGAGAAGCAGGCTCCCTACTGAGCAAGGAGCCCGATGCGGGACTCGATTCCAGGACTCTGGGATCATGACCCGAGCCAAAGGCAGAGGCTTAACTGACTGAGCCGCCCAGGCCCTCCTAAAATTTATTTTTTGTTTTCCCAAATGTTGCAAGCACTTTTGACAATTATCACATCAAATCATTAGGACTGTACAGTTCCTTGTATTTTTTGAGGTCTCTTGTAGTGATGGTTTTGGACCCATTTTGTAATTGGTTAATAGTAAGAAAGTCACTATGTTTTCCTTAGTTTTTTATGTAGCACCAAGTTCAAATCCTCACTGTGTCTGTCCAGGCAGAAAACATCTACTGTGTCTACTTTGTTCTCGTTGTTTGTAGTTACCTCTCAGAGAATTACATTTTCAGATGCTCAGGTCCTCACTGCCACGGTCTTGCAGGAGAAATAGGTGTCCATACCCACAACTGAGGGGACAGAGATGAGAAAAACTATTGATTATGTAGGGTTTGCACGGTAGGGTATTGTAGAGAAATGATGTATTAAATTTTCGAGGCAGCAATTAATTTAAATTAATTCAGTCAATTATCCAAATAATAAACTTCTGGACCTTTTTTTTTCCTCACTGAGCAAACTCGTGTGCTTCTTGGCATCTTCTACCATTGTTATGACCACTGAATATTTGTACCTGGCCCAGATTCATTTGCTGAGCCTCAAACCCAAATGTCTAGCTACCTATGAAACACCTCTATGTAGGTGTTCCACTGACCCTACAAACACAGCACTTGCCATTTTGGGCAAAAATTGATCATCTTTCTCCCCATATCCTCATATTTCCCCATACTTTCATCAACTTTCATCTTATTGCTATCAAGACAGAAATCAGGAACTCATCATTCTAGACTCATCCCTCTCTCTCATCTCTGACATTTGACAGTGATATCTACTTCAAATCCCCATTCACAAAAAAAGTTTATGCCCACCAGCTGCTATTTAAATATTATATAGGTATTGTGAGGGGATCTGTATCTTATCATCTCCATGGTCACTGACTAAATTCAGACATGTCTCATTGTTCACCAGAGTTATTACAAATTTTTTCCTAATCTTATCACCAGTCATCTTACTTTCCTTCAGCTTATTCTCCATACTATGGCCCTAGAGATTTTTTTATTTTTTATTTTTATTTATTTTTTTAGAAGTCCCATTATATGTATTTATTGAGATATAATTTAAAATTTTTTTCTCCAGCTTTAATGAGATACAGTTGTCACACAACACTGTGCAAGTTTAAGGTGTACAGTATGTTGATTTGATACATTTATATATTGCAAAATAATTACCACCGTGACATTAGCTAACACCTCCATCCTGTCACATGATTATTTGTTTTTTGTGGTGTGCATAATAATAGAGTTACAGATCTGTGTCTTTGGATGAATTTATACATCCAGGTTACTGCCATCCTAATTACAACATGAAACATCCCCATCCCAATGTTTGTTTAGCACCTCTTTCCGCTCAATTCCACCACATGGGCACTTTTGTGTCTTTTTTCTTTCACAGAGATATTTTTGAAATGCATCCATATTGCACAGATCTTGTATCTGTCTTTTGTATGGGAATCATTGCAAATCATTACAATATCTGACCTTTTGTGTCTAGCTTCTCTCGTTAAGTTCTTTGTGGAGATGAAGAACCAAAAGAATTAGCAGTGAAGCTTATGGAAAGAATTTGAGATTCCATAATGGACAAAGGGAGTAAATGTTAGGATCTTGGCAGTAGCCAAAATGGACTATTGTGTGGCCAACAGAACGGTCTGGGAGAGCCTTAAAATTGGAGCATAGGCTGAGTTGGAAGGAAGGTATCGGGTGATCTGTATAAACCAGGGAAGCAGGGTAGGCACCATCAGGGGGTGCTGGAGGTGCATCCATGTTTCTCAGAAGAGCTGGTCTTGACTTCCACCCCAGCCAATTGCTGTTGTTTGAGTTTCCTGAGTTTTGCTTTATGAGTCTTGAACCAAACCTGCGGTACCGTGGGATGTATCTCCAGTTTTGAGGCTATTTCTTTCTGAAGGCTGGAAGCGGGGTATGGGTTCTTGCTGAACAAGAATTCCAGATCTGCCAGTTGTTACTCAGTGAACATTGTTCATTTCCTTTGGGAATGCTTCTGGTGCTTTCCTTTAGGAAGGTCCCCTGCACCTGACATCCTGATCTAGATGTGTTCACATGCACTGGTCCTGTGTCAAGCCTAGAGATTTGTTT